CTTAAAACAGTTTGTGAAAACCAGGCATGGTGGTGCACATCTGTAATCCTAGCACTCAGGAAACAGAAGCAGGAGGCTTGAGTTTGAGTCCGGTGTGGATTACCCTGTCTCAAAAAACCAAGAGCTGAGGATGTAGCTCAGTGGTAGGGCTCTTGCCTAGCATGCGAGGCCCTTCCTGGATTTGATCCCCTGCACCTAAAGTTTGTGCAGAATCAGACTACTGTTACACCATGGTTTCATAGACCTTTTGAAAGGAGACTTCAAGAAGAGCTGGGAAGGCTTTGGAAGCTGAGGGAGCCTTTCTGGGCTCATGTCAGGAGCTCTGTGATCATGTGGCCAGTTCTGACATGGAGGCGTAGATAAGAGAAATTGTTTCAGCAGCTACATGTATGTCATTTCTGCCTCAGGATATCCCTTGTGAATTCCATCTCAAAGTAAGGGACTTAACACAGGGCCTAACTTTTTAAAACTGTTTCTTAGAGCTATTAACAGAGGCCTGCTGTCTGATCACTTTATTATGCATGGATTTAAGCATGTTATCCTTCTTTATCCTTTAACTGAATTTGTTCAGCATATAATAAATCTGACAGTTTTACAGACCTTGTTTGGAAGATAGCCTGTGCTGATAAGAGATAAGCACACATTATCACTTACATGAATTCTGGATGATTAACTAGCTCTAATTCCATGAGGCTGTTTTGCAGGCAACAGCTCTGCTACCTTCTAAGTTAGGTGGAAAAGCAGTGCATTCTTTAATTGAGTTGAGGTTTGACATTTAATAATGCTTTTTGTCATTTGTTGAGAATCTGACTATGGGCATTGTCATCCCTCCTAGAATATTGTTACTTTTTAAAATGAGCCTTGCTAAATCTTGTAGCTGCAACTCTTCTATCTAGTACATGGGAGCTGATAACAAGGGATGGGAGGGAGGAGGGTGTACTGTCCCAGTGAGAGCAGGCTTTTGTGTAGCTGTAGATAACAAGAATCAACAAATAGAAACTTCTTTTCCAGGCTTGTCCTTCATAACCCCCAGCATCTGGTAGAAACTGGTTTGTTCTCAGCTGTAATTACCGCCAGCTACCTCGAGTTTTACTTTTGTCAAGTTCAGTTTCTGTGATTCCATTGAACAGTTTCAGAACCAAGAGTGACATGCCCCAGAACTTTGGTTTCATGTGAATGTCGAAGACATGTAGAAATGTTCAGGAACTAATCATTGAAAGTACTTGGACAATGTGCTTTTAATATTTTCCACATACTTTTTCATTGGAAACTAATTTTTAACTTTGATCTATAAAAATTCACTGAAACTCCCCTCTCCCTACAGTTTAGTTTACGTTTTTCTGTAAGAAAGTCTGAAGTTAGGGGTTTATCCATGGGCTCTGCCTGTGTCACTTCTGCCCTGCCCAGTATCTTGAGTAGTGAGGAAAGAGATGAACTCACCTGGCCCTGCCACACACCACAGGTAGGATACCTGAACTCAAGCCAGCCAAGCCTCACACAGGTGTGGAAAATGCCAGAGAATCTCTGAGTGAGAACACCATAGAGCTTCGCCTGGAGCCCCTCACCAGTGAGGCTCATTCATTTGACTTACCCACTAAAGGGAATGTCGCAAACTTATCTGCTCCAGGATAGCAGCCATGGCTGGATGACTGGCACCTTCCTCCCCATTCTCTTTCCTTCCTGCTCCAATGCGAAACTCTCCCTCCCCCAATCTACTCTTTCTTTCTTTCTTTCTTTCTTTCTTTCTTTCTTTCTTTCTTTCTTTCTTTCTTTCTTTCTTTCTTTCTTTCTTTTTCTTTTTATAGAGGGGCTGAGGGGGCAAGTCTTCTTTTTGTTTACCCTAGTGGATTGGAAGTGATTTGAGCAGGCCACCCCTGCTTGTTCCCAGCCTGATGGGGTATGGCCAGGAGTGCCTTTGCTTTCTTAACTGCTGCCCCTTCCCTTTGAAACATACAGGCTGGTTGAAATGTATACTGGGGAGATGTAGCTCAGAAAAATTGCCTGGAAAAGAACATGTATGAGCCAGACACAGAAAATAAGGAAGCCATTGTGTTCAAAAAGTGGAAATTTTTAGATACTGAGGAAATGTCTTTAAGGTGCCATCATATAATAAAAAGGAAAACTTGGTGCTTTAGGTAAGTTCAAGAGGAAACAAGTGATGTTTGAGAGCTACAGATAGAGTGGATTGCAAGTTAATCTTGGGGAGGTGTAAGTAAAATACAAGCAGTGTGCTCTATTGATTTTATCATTCTTAGACCAGAAAGCACACACTTCTGTTCCACTGTCTCAAGTCGCATTGTAGAGATATGTCAGTGCTGCCTCTTCATGTGCTGTCATTGTTTGTGTGTGTGTGTGTGTGCGTGTGTGTATAAATTTAAAGGTAAATGATACTAATGCTAGTATTTGGTTTCAAATTATATACCTGATTAAACACTCATTTTAATTGTTGAAAAATTTTCTGATCTCTCTGGTAGTACTATACTTCTTAATATGCATGGTGAAAATTAATCTATCATAAGTTTTAACAACAATAAAATATCACATATGCCCTCCTACATTTGATTCTTTTCTCTCTAGTGAAGGTTATATTTTAATGATTGAAGCTTCTTTTTTTAGGAGTTATTGACAGCTGATTCCAGAGTGAAAGTTACCCATGTCATTTGTTAGGAGCTTGCGGAGCATGAATATATGATGCCTTTTCATACATGCTATGAGTGAAACCTGGGGAATTGTGATTCAGAAAAATTAGTAAAAAATGAATGTTTGTAGTGTGTTGTCTGCGATATCCCCTCTGCAGAGCCTGGCTCCCCAGCCCACCATTTCAAACCACCCATACTGTCTTCATCCCAGCCAGCACATCACTCTACTCTTGGATCTATCTCACAGTACAGGTGTGAATCCCGTTTGTATGTGTTGGAGTGTTGCCTGTCTGTGAGTTCACCTCTCTTTGCCCTCTTTCCTTCTTGAGCAGCACCAGTCTCTATTTCTTATGCTGTGTCTATCTACAGTGGCAGGAAGGAAGGCTTCGTAGAGTCAAAGGATGATCACATGATGCTTAGGTGACAGGAATAGAGTCATGCATAAACGGTTATGGTCCAGGTCTTACTTCTTCTCCCACAGGCCTCTGCTGGTGCGGTAGACGAAAAATAGCTCCCCTGTGACAGATAGCCTGGGGAAGAGGCAGGGGAAACACTAAATCAAAAGGGTTCTGTATAAGAACAGGATTTCTCTCACCTATAATTCCCACTTCTTTCTCTTCCTTATCCACTTGGTAGCCTGTGCCATGCATGCCAGTGATGGTCTCCATTTTGCAGAAGAGATCATTAAGGCACAAGGGGCACAATAATCTGTTAAGGTCACATGCCTTACCAAGTGGTGAAGCTTGAGACTGGAAACTACCCCATGACTGGTCGGCAATATCTCTTCTAGTCGGGCTTTGAATCTGTAAATTGCTTATTGTATAGTGAGTACTAAACAAACAATAACTACATGCAGACTATACTGATTATCAGGCCCAAACTGAGCACAGAACAGGACCTTGGGACTTGGTTACATTGCTCGCGCCCACAGGAAGCTAGAGCATGAGTTCTCAGATTGTGCCTCCCATGTGATCTCCTGAATTGATGTGCGATTGGTGCAGCCTCCCTCGAGCTGATGCAGCATTTCTTCATCCAATTCCCTGAAAACAATTGGCTCTGTAAAGCACATGACTCTCAAAAACATAAAATAAAAAATTGGCTCTTCTGCCCATTTGACCAGAGCGGCATCCAGAGGACCGATTGTAGAGCCACAGAGACTGAGGTCCCAGATTATACCGGAGGAGGCCGCAGACAGTTTGGTTGGTAGGTGGCCGAGCAGCCCAGGCGGTCTCGGCTGGTTTCTTTAGCCTTCCTTGCTCTTTGCCTTTGCTCTCGATGAACCTGCTACTCCGAAGTTCTTGGTCTTCCGCTGGCCTGGGCTTTGCACTGATTTTTCTAATCTAGAAAGGAAGGAAAGTTACATAAAGTAAAGGAGGGCAACAACCATTAAGAATGAGGAGGAAATGGCATAGAATTGGAACTCTAGGGAGGACTTAAATGATGACTTTTGAACCTTTGGGATGTATTGTTTTTAGAACTGTCACTCTCTTCTTGCATACTTAGTCGTGTTTTGTTTCTGCCAGCCGTGACCATTGTCAGGACACTAGGCGAAGTCACTGAAGTCTTTCCTGTGCCTTTTCATTTTCTCCCCCAAAAGGAATTCAGCACCCAGGAGATTGATTGACTCCTCAGAGCTAGTCATTCTAAAGACTTTTGGCGATACCAGTTAGAATCTGCTGAGTGAAGGAAAGTCTGGGGAGCAGAATGTGAGAAAGGAGCCACCTTGCAGAGCATAGGGAGGGAGGCCAGCTGCCCAGGGAGGAAGAGGGAGGAGCTGTGAGGTGGAGAGAGCCAGCCTTAGGCCTCACGAGCTAGAAAGAGCTTTTTCCTTTGAGAGCCAATGCTTTAGAGTCCTTGTGCAGGATCCCAGAGCCTCCACAAGGGGGTCAGAGCTACCTGACTAAATGTGCAACCCTTTGTTTGATACAGTGTTGTGGCCCTCCCTGCCTCTTCCTCGGGGCTAACTGCCCTGCCCCAGCGCAGCGCTGTTGCAGACACTGGGAGGAGCCCCTTCCAACACCTGTCGTTTCCACACAGTGCAGGAGCACCCTCGAAACTAGAGGATGTAGCCTGGCCCAGGCCAGCAGAAAGTAGCTCATGGTGCTGTTGAGTCAGGCTCCTGTCTGAAGAGTCTGGGGCCAGTGAGGTAGGATGGCTTATTTCCTAAATGGTTGGCCTTTCCACCTGCTTAACCTTTAAATAAGGTTTGAAAAAGAAAAGGCTTTTTCGTCTGAAATTATATATGTACATTTAACAAAACTGTGATAGTTACTGTTGTTAAATTTCTGATTGAAGTCAAAGTTCTTTAAGTTCAAATTTCTTGGCTGTTCACACCTTTTTCTACCCTGTTTTCTGTTTTAGTTGCTGATATGTGTTCAAGATGAGTGGGATGGGAGAAAATACCTCTGACCCATCCAGGGCAGAGCCAAGAAAGCGCAAGGAATGTCCTGACCAGCTTGGACCCAGGTTAGAGTCTTGCTGAGAAGAAGAACCATATTGTCTGTTAAAGTGTGGCCCTACCTCTTTGTTGTTTGAACATTTGGTTTTACTCCAAACCTAAATATTGTGCTTAGTTGTTTTTTCCCCCTCTAACAATTAAATTTTTTATATATGTAGTAGCTTAAATTTTGAATGTGTTGTAACTTACAGATTCTATCCTTTTTTTACAAGAAGAGGAAAACCCACCGTATACTTTTTTCCCCCCTCACACAAATTTTGCTCTTACAATCAATTCCTTCTTAAACCTGACTTTTCCATGTTTTTTCTCCTGTTAAATCTCGGAATATTGTAACAAGTAAACCCTATAGTGAAAAGATTTGCTATTATTTTTGTACTGGGTTTTTGTTATTTTTTTAATGGCATGAAATGTTAAATTCATTTTCCTTTGAATTGAAACTGAATTGTGAGCATTGTTAGACCAGCCCTCATGCAGGCTAATTTGGCAGTATTACCATTATAAATGCATGTCCTCTTTGGCCAGGCAGTCGTGGTTCTAGAACTTTTCCCATGATAGCTCTCTTTTTTTTCCTTTTTTTTTTCGTCTTTTTTGAGACAGGGTCTCCCTGTAACCCCAGCTCGCCTGGAATTCACTAGGTAGACCAGGCTGGCCTTGAACTCACAGAGATCCAAGTGAACTGTCTCTGCCTCCCAAGTGCCAGGACTAAAGGCGTGTTTGCCACCACGCCCAGCTTTCCTACCATATCTTGTATACATGCAGAACTATGTAGCATGCCTACAAACATGGCTGCTCCTTTGCAACATTGTTCAGAATTGAAAAGATTAGGAAAAGGCTGTTTGTAGAGGACTGTGATATCTGTGGCCTGGAACACAGTGCTGCTATGATAAAGAATGAGGGCACTCTCCTTAGTATGAAAGAAATTATTAAGAATATTAAGGCACAGAGCCAGGTGTGGTAGTGCACTCTGGAGGCTGAGAAAGGAGAAGTTCAAGACCAGGCTGGGCTAAGCAGGCAGTTGGAAACCAACCTGTGCTACATACACAGTGAAATTCTATCTTTAGAAAAAAAGATACTGTGACAAAGAAGGCAATGTTTTAAAAATGTTGATAGAGTACACTGCCATTTTTATTTACAGAAGTGAAAAGGAGGAGGAAGCACCTGCATTTGTATTGTAGGATAGCCAGGAAATAGAGATAGTTGCCACCACCCATTTCAGTGGATTAGAGGTAGGCAAAGTGGAAACAGGCAGGAGAGAATCTATCAGATGTTGAATATTTTAAATCCTATAAACGATTTTAAAAGATAAATAAGGCTGGATGTGATGGCACACACCTTTAATCCCAGCACTCCAGAGGCAGAGGCAGGCAGATCTCTTTGAGTTCAAGGTTAGTCTGGTCTATATAACGAGTTCCAGGCCAGCAGGATTACAAGGAGACCCTGTCTCAAAAAAAAAAGTTAAGTACAAACAGCACTTCTGTCTATGTATAATAAAAGGATCAGACAGTGAACAGTGGGAAATAGGATTTGGAAAAGTCACCAAAAGAAGAGGAAGGACAAGAAGTCCATCTTTTAGACTCTTCCTGCCTCTAGTGCCAAGCCTATCGAACCCGCTGCCCTGCTGCTTCCAGGCTCCCCAGGACTTCTGGTAAACTCTACCTGCTGTTGGTCCCCAGACTCCTTTGTGCTTTGGAGACGCCCCCCCCCCAACACCTCCCCACCTGAGTGAAAGGGTCCTAGAGGCCCCACTGTCTTACCTGGGACCTAGCTGAGTTGATATTGGGTGAGCTCATCTCTGCTGCTCTCTCAGGGGTAACTCAGTTCCCTTTTCGCCTACTTGTCACTAATGCTTTATCCTGCATAGTCAGAGAGGAAGGGAGGAAGGAGGCCAGGGGAGGAGCCAGAACAGGAACTGGCCTCTTCCAGATGCTTCAGCTACCTCCTTCCTTCTCTGTGCTTAATAAACTGGGAGCTGGGTTAAAAATGAGACCTGGAAAGAATAAACTCTCTGCTCAGCCAGTAACTCACTGGGTGACCTTGGGCAAATCATGGAACCGCTATAAGGGGAGAATTGTGTTGTATCATATTTATTACTTTAGGAAAATAAAGCTGATATTTAGAGGTTAGTGCAAGGGAATCTTGAGTGTACAAAATTTTTAAAACGAATACTACATATGAATAATTATATAAAATACAGAAAGTTGGCACATTAAACAACTCATTTTTCCTCTCTATGGTCTTGTTTTGAGTGTGCATTTAAGGGCCCACATTTTAGACTGTTATTATCAAAAAGATACTTGAGCATTTATTATTTTGTCAAATTCAAATGAGAAGATTTTGCCAGTTTTGGTATTTTCCCCCATTTGTTAGCTTTTAAAAACTTTAGTTGAGTTCCGACCACTTGTTTACATTGTGTATGACATTCAGCTTGGGCAGTTGGCACAGACCCTGGATCACTTCCGCTTTTGTTTCTAGCTGCCTTTTGACTTTTGGCATTATCTTAAAAGGCTAACTCGTTTTATTAGGGACTGGAGAGATGGCTCCGTGGTTAAGAACACAGGCTGTTATTGCAGAAGACCCTGGTTCAAATCCCAGCACCCACATGGTAACTAGCAACTGTCCATAACTCCAGTTCCTGGGGACCCGACAGTCTCTTCTGTCCTCCACAGGCATTGCACCATGCGAGTGCACTTACATACATGCAGGCAATACATGCATACACATAAAAATTAAATAAAGGACTGGAGGGATGGCTCAGTGGTTAAGAACACTGGATGCTCTTGCATAGCACCTAGATTTGATTCCCAGCACCCACATGATGGCTAACAGTCATTCGTTACTCCAGTTCCACGGGATTCAACGCCTGCTTCTGACCTCCGAGTGCATTACACGACACGAGTGCACTTGCACACATGCAGGGAATATACTCATACACGTAAAATAAAAATAATAAGATATTAAAAATAAATAAAAATAACATTTTTAAAGGCTGATTTTATTACATACATTTTAAAGAAGTCTATGAAATTGTAAAGACTTATTTCTCTTACCTTTTTTTGCCAAAAAAATCATTGAAAGTCATATACTATTATAACTAGATTAATTTGCAGCAGCCCCCTTTCTGATCTTAAATATTTATTTACTATTTATTTATTTGATACAGGGTTTCATTATGTAGCCCTGATTGGCCTGAATATGTAGGCTAGACTGGCCTTGAACTCACAGGTATTTGTCTGCCTTTGCCTCCAGGGTGCTAGGATTAGAGCTATGTGCCACAATGCCCAGCCATTTTTGAATTTTTTTTTTTTTTTTCATTTGTAGCAAAGGTTACTATCAAACCCCACTCACAGGCTAGAGTGGAGTGTTAGAGAAAACCTGCACTCAGGTAGCACACTACCTACAGTTGTGAGATCCAGTTGTGAATTTTTTCATAACCCCCTTACCTTTTCAAAACATTTCTATATCTAGCAGCAAGTTCAGAGCTCACTACTAAGCACAGCAGTAAGCAGAATCATCTACATTCCTCATTCTGGCAAAGCTGAAAAATAATCCCACAAGTAACAACAACAGACAGCATGCAGCATTTTAGGAGAAATTAACACATACACAAATAAAATGTGCAACATGGGGACATGGTGGTGCTCAGCACTTGGGAAGCAGAGGCAGGCTAATCTCTGTGAGATCGAGGCTAGCCTGATCCACATAGTGAGTTCCACGCCAGCCAAGGCTACAGGGAGACCCTGTCTCAAAAAGACCAAATAAAAAACACACACAAAAAAAACATGCAACACTTTAGGGGACACACATACACACACACACACACACACACACTATATACTTCTGTTTGCATTGGTGACTTTCATAATGCTATATTTATACTATAACTAGTGTGTTTATCATTGTCATAACATCTCTTTTGCAAATAAATACTAATGGCATGTTTCTTCTTAGCCCCAAAAGGAGCACTGAAAAACGTAATCGTGAACAAGAAAATAAATACATAGAAGAACTTGCAGAGCTGATTTTTGCAAATTTCAATGATATAGACAACTTTAACTTCAAACCTGACAAATGTGCAATCTTAAAAGAAACTGTGAAACAGATTCGCCAGATCAAAGAACAAGGTAAGTAGGCAGAATTGATGTCTTAGACAGTTGAGTTGGTTTTTGTTTTTCCATATGTGCCAAGTCCCTTCTGAGTCCCTTGAATCCATTTCTCATGCTTAAATTATTGATGAGGCGATGATGGCACAGTGCAAGATGAATGCAAGTATCACTTGCAGTGGTTTATAAATAGGCTCTGTATAGAACTCAGCCATCCCTGAAGACCGAGGAGCTGGAGGTGGGTCCGGGTGATGGAACTTTTCGTCTGGTGAACTCATCTAGTGCTCCCTGTCTTTCCTCCTCCCACGTGGAGTTTTCTTAGCTTTCACAGCAAGTAACTGGCATAATTTGCAAGTGAGGGGCCAGTTTGCAATGTAATCCCCAAGTAAGGAGGCAACGCACCTCCTGTTTCAGCTAGTCAGCATATTTGATGAAGGTGCAGCCTCAACTAGCCATGCCAGTGGATTAGAATTTCACATCCTGAGTGACAAGAGGCTTGAAAGGCTCTAATCTCTAGTAAAAATTCCTTTGTGAAGTCAAAGCACATAACAGGACAGCTTTCTTCTTGTGGTTTTCTTTTTCTCTGAGATCATTTTATACTTCTTTGATATTTTTGCCTACAGAAAACAAATTAAGAAAATAGTATTTTTTAAATCACATTTGACTTTATGTTGCCCAAACTGCATCTGTTTGGGGCATGTGTGAACAGTGCCTCGATGCTTAGCGCCAATACGTGCTCTGAAGTGTCCACCTACCCACCTTCCTTCGGGCCGGAGGTGATTATCTCTTCGGATGCTTTTGACACATCCTATTGAAATTCATATTTTTTAATCTTCCTTTTAAATAATATTCAAAAAAGGAATATTTCAGGAAAATAAAGTGTATGAGCCTCAAACTATGTTTCCTCCTGTGAATCATCCAGTCTTTTCTGTTAGCATACTGTCATCATGGCATTTTGCATTTTCATCTATATACTGTTGAACTCAGTTCCAATGCAGTTTTGCAAACAGAGTTCTGTCTTCTAAGAACTTTAAAAATATGCACAAAGTGTATACATTTCTAATACCAATCCACTCTGAAAAATGTCTTTATCAGTTTCTCTGTCAAAATTATGCTGTCATAGCTCTAGGCAGTCAAGAGGTTCTTATATCAGTACCTGTACTCTCACCTCTTTCTTTTCTTTTTAGGGTTCACCAATTACCACAATTTGATTTTAATCTCAAATAGTTACCCTTTGTTTTGTTTTGTTTTGTTTTGTTTTTGGTCTTTTCAGACAGGGTCTCCCTGTACTCCCAGCTGTCCTGGAACTTACTATGTAGACCAGGCTGGCCTCGAACTCACAAAGATTCACCTACTTCTGCTTCCGAAGTGCTGGGATCAAAGGGGTGCACCACCACGCCTGGCACCGTCTTCTTGATTTTTGGTTGTTACCCTTTGTTTTGTTTTGTTTTGTTTTGTTTTTGGTCTTTTCAGACAGGGTCTCCCTGTACTCCCAGCTGTCCTGGAACTTACTATGTAGTCCAGGCTGGCCTCGAACTCACAAAGATTCACCTACTTCTGCTTCCGAAGTGCTGGGATCAAAGGGGTGCACCACCACGCCTGGCACCGTCTTCTTGATTTTTGGTTTTTGGGGTTTTTTGTTCCTCCTCCTCCTCCTCCTCCTCCTCCTCCTCTTCCTCCTCTCTTCTTCTTCTTCATCATCATCATCATTTTTAATGTCAACAAATGGATCAAACAATATTCCTAGAACTCTTAGGTGAAATGGTTGGTTGGCTGCTAATACCATTGCAGTAGAAAAATGAACCTAATGTTGCTTCAAGTTTCTAAGAATTTTGAATGATTCTATTTGGGGAGTATTTGGGGGCTGGAGAGATGGCTCAGTGGTGAAGAGCACTAGCTGCTCTTGTAGAGGACAGTGTTTAATTCCCAGCACCTACATGGTGGCTAACAGCTGGCAGTAACTCCATTTCCAGGGAACCCGATGCCTTCTTCTGACCTTCACAGGCATTGCATGACATGGGTGCACTTACATATATGCAGGCAATAATACACTCATATACACAAAATAATAATTTTTAAAAATTGGGAGCATTTCATGTTAGTAGTTTTATGTTTTAAAACAATCATACATGTATTTTTAACCACGATGAAGGTTTTGTACAACATTGCAAAACCTAGGTAATTCCCCCTTCTAACCATAAAACACGTTAAGATATGTCATGCTGGGCCTGTGCCATGCCTTAACTACAGTGTTAACCATCAGGCACATACCACAGCCACCCAAGAAGCAAGAATAATAAACACTCTGTCACATCACATTCTCACAGTAATTCCCCATGTGAATTTGAAAGGCAGTAAGTTTTGAAAAGGGAAGCAAAAGTTAAATGCCAAATATGCAAAAGTTAAATACCAAAAACACAAATACGCTTTTAAGTTCTCAACTAATCTAATGTTTGAAGAGTATTCCAACTTTAATAATCATTTTTGTAAGAGCAGAATCACGTCAGACAGAAGGTAGGTGCATGCCCTGGTGACACGAAGGGGCTTTTTTGAACTTGGGCAAATTGTTTCTTCTCTCTGCAAGTCTCCTCAGATATAATTGAGCAGTGACCACGCCTAGGGCCCTTGGCTGCTGATCAGTAAAGCAAACAGTGATCTGTGTCAGTGCATTCAGCAAGTTTCTGTCACAGTAAATATTGAATAGATGGTAGTTTTTCTGTATTAAATAGAAAGTCACCTTAAATTTTTATTATTATTTACCTGTGTAAGCTCTTCAGGCAGTGACCTCTTCAGATGGAAAGCAAAAGAAAAGAGGTTGATGGGTGATTCTTAACATCAATTCTCCAGAGTGGTTTAAAGAAAGTAAGTTTTTTTCTGAGACCAGAGAACCCTCCACTGGTGGGCCAGTTGGGCTTCTGTCTGCAGCTAACAACCAACTAAGTTTCAAAAGTACCAAAGTCAAGCCTGACCCCTCTCTCACTGTGTCTCCCCTGCCCCAAACTGTTTGCTTTACCAAGGGCCCTCTTTTCACTATTATCCAAACTTAATTTGTATTGCAATCACACTTTTTAGCCTGAATAAAATTAATTGGGGAGCTCTGTAGAACCCACCCATTATATACTACATGTTTGGCCCAGAGAAGTTAACTGGGTTGCCTGAGGTGTCCTACTAAAGAACACTGAGGAATGAGGCTGGAGAGATGGCTCAGCAGTTAAGAACACTGGCTGTTCTTACAAAAGACCTGGGTTCAAATCCCAGCACCCACATAGCAGCCAACAACTGTCTATAACTCCAGTTCCAGGGGATCCAACAGCCTCTTCTGTCCTCTGCAGGCATTGCATGACATGGGCGCACTCACCTACATGCAGGCAATACACACATACACATAAAATTAAAAAAAATCAAACTTAAAGAAAACTGAGGAGCAAGGAGAGCAGGGCTCATCTTCATGGAACATGCTCCAGCATCACAAGCTATGTACATCAGCCTCACATCACGGACTCTTCCTCAACTCTCCATACACTGTATAAATAGAGGAAACAGGGAAGGAATTTTTTAAATGGCCTAGAAGACAGAAATTTGAACAGAGAAGTACCAGCAATTTTAACTACTAGGCATTGTATCTCATGTAACACTTTATAAGACTCCCGTGTAGTAGGTGCTAGCCCTCAAGATCATGCACTCAGGCCCATGTGGTGGCACACACCTATAATCCCAGCACTTGGGCGGCAGAGGCACATTCAAGGCCATGCCTGGCCAAGCTAGTTCCAAGCCAGCCAGAGCTACATAGTGAGACCCTGTCTCAAACAAACAAGAGCATGCACCCTGGAAACCCCTTATAGAAACAGAGTAAGGGCTTGAACACAAGGATTTGGGGCTACTGATGTGATTGCCATTTGATTTGATTGCCATTCAATTTGGAATTCCATTTGCATTGATGTTATGTTGGCCCACATTCATAGAGCCGTAGTTATTAACGAAGTTAGCTATTTAAACCTTCTGTTATGACTAAATTCTCTTTGAGAATTTTTAATATCAGCTAAGACTTAAATAGTTCTGTGTATCAGGTACTTTTTTATATACTTAAGTTTGGTAACCCATTTAATACTCCAAACATTCCATGGAAAACAATAGTTTTATTTTTCCCCCCTTTCCAATGGGAAACCTGAGGTGCAGAGTGTTTAAGTAGCAAAGTCACAGACCCTAATGGAGGCACAGGATGGAACCTGGACAGCCTGGCCGCTGAGGCTGCCCTTTACCCATCACAGCAGCTTGTTGGTATTGGAGGAGATGCTTTTGCATATTTGGAATGCTGATGACAGATGTTTAAACCTCTTCTTAGAGTTGTCTTGCACAGCAGATACCCTTTTTCTTAATTGGGGAAGGTACTATTGCTTCTGCTCCACAGAGACATTGTAAATAGCAGGAGAAATACAGATGCGGTAATTTTGGATGGCTGTGTCCAATTTAATTCTCATTAGGTAGAAACTTTTAAAATATTTCTATACAAAATGCATGCTGATTCCTATTATGTTATAAAAATATAATCAAAGTGTAAAATGGCTAGAAAAATTGGGGGGAAGGGAGGTTAAAATGAACATTCCTACTGTCCCGTTATATAAAGCAATGCTGCCTCTGTTGCCCCAGAGCTCACACATTGCTTTTTTTCTTCTAAATAACTAAAGTGAGTTTTATTAATTGAAAATTATACTGGAATCTGGAGGCATATGGTGCAGGGCTGTAATGCTAGCAGCTGAGAGATGGAGGCAGGAGGATCAGGTATTCAAGGTCATCCTTGGCTACAATACTGAATTTGAGGCCAACCTGGATTGCATGAGGCCCCCATCTCAACAACAACAAAAACCTCAAAACCATTGAAATCTATTTTGATTCATCATGTTTGGATTTATTTATCAGTTAATAGAGAATTGGTTTCCAATTTCATCCTAAGTAGTTTTATTACTGAATGGCAACAAGAACGAAGACAAAGGTTTCAAAGATTCCAGAATATGTTTCAAATC